TGCAGTTGCAACTATTGTCTAAAGGGGAACAGGCTACCCGTGCACTGGAAAATCAGTGCCTGAATCACTTAACTATACGCTTTTGTAAATTTTAAAAAAGAAAATGTTTTAAAGGTCTCGTCAAAAAAATATTCGCGAGATATTAGTAGTCTTCCAACTATACTACACAAGCTTATCTCATAATTAATGTATACGTCTGGACCAGTAATATGCAAATTGAGATTTATATATTCAATGTCATCACGCATTCACGCGTCAGTGGGTGTAAAGTCTTTACTCTTTGAGCTGATGTTAATGCTTAGAGCTGACAATAACGCCAAACGTCACCAATTAGTGACGCACATTTTGAATTGGCCTTCAATGAACAAAAACAAACCGTAAAAGAACACTTCATACATCCACATTGTTTTACATCGGAGAAAATGTCATATTATTACTACCCTCATAAACCAGCAGGTCAGTGGATTATTACGTAAAGATGTTCCATTTGGAAACTCAACAATTGAGGATAATGCCGATCTAGCTGTGTCTATATCATTAGGCTATAACCACTCCAGCTTCAAAAAGAAATGCACAGCTACACTTCCAGGTGGAGCTATGGATTTGTTTGGATCATAAGTAACAAACAATAAGTGGCATCTTTTGATGTAATTCATGCTGATCCTGTTGAGCAGTAAACGCTATTTCCGAGTTACGTCATTATTGTCCAGATAGTGTTTCAATTGTTTTATTTAATGTTGGGTACGGGATTTTCCATATTAGACGCAATTTTCATATGCCCTAATTTGCATGCGACCCCATGCAGCGTGTATGCGGTCCGCTGTTGACGTACAGTGCCCCAATAATCTAAGAATTCTGAAATTATGTTCCATGTGGTATTTTATTTACATGTAAATTACCTTTTGATCGCTCAGCCTGTTAAAAGTGGATCAATGAGAATAGTTATTTGAGTATGCGCATAAATTGGTGGGTCGCCGCCGCGTTGTTGCAACGTGACTGGGCTTTGGCGTCAGCCATTCTTCACACTTTTGAGATGACGGTGGATGACCGTGGATGATTTCTTAGTTCTCACCTTTTAGGATGTTTGTACAAATAGGGGACATTATGTAGAAACTGTTAATTAGTTTTTGTGAGCATTTCGCATTATTTGAGCGTGTTAATTAGAGTTTTCTCCCGTCGTGTCACTATTTGACATTGACGTGCAATTGCCTGTTGTCTCACATAAAGCCACAGTTCAAAAATGCGTACGTACTTGGGACTCATTATGTTTGTGTGCTATCGTGAGATCCACCTCCTGACCGCCCAAGGAATTTCGGAATTAAAATAACTACAGGATTATAGGAATGAAATAACCTTACATAGAATATTTTGGCTTCTGCTTTGGAATTGTAATATTTCATATTGTACATTTTTCTTGCTAAGCTGTACTTTGTAAGATAATTCAATATTATATACCGATGCATGTGAAATCCTAAGTACTGGTTTCTAATATTTTCAAATTAAGTTGTGTTTTGTCCACTGAGTACAACCAACTTGTTGAAGTTTAGCTCAGTGTGTACTATATACATGTTGAGAAAACAACGAAAACATTATTCACAATTGTTCGGTCTCGTAAGTGGATTCCGCTTTCGATAATTGCACCCTCCAATGTACGATCCCTATGTAAGCACTCGGAAAATAATTGTCATTCAGTCGATTATAGTGCACGGGAAGTCGCGGTCCCAGCGACTAAACAATAACTTAAATAACACCATTTTTTGTTTAATTTCTCCTGTCTTTTTGTAATTGGTGCAATAAAATTAAAAGTCATCGAAGCGTACATGATATTTTATCTGTGGTTTTTCTTTTTCGTCCAGAGTCAATTTATTTCAAATTCTGAATGATCAATTCAAATGTGATTTAGTTTGGAGTAGGTAGGGCCTATTGTTAAACATTTTAAATGTATGTTGTTCTGAATTATATTTTTGTTCCATAATCATTGTCTTGATTCGAATAATTCCTTTCTGTCATTATTATGTTATTTTTGTGTCTAAGCTTGTCTCTTGAGTCATAATGAAATCAAGACAGGATTTGGGTTTTTTTTTTACTTGTGATTGTGTGTACAGGATAAGTGCTGTTCATTCTTTTTTATTACCTCGGCCAAAGAGGTTATGTTTTCATTGGATTTGGTTAGTTTGTTGGTTTGTTGGTTGGTTTGTCTGTTAACAAGATAACTGAAAACGTTACGGAAGGATTTCCATGACTTGTTTTAGGTATGGTTTTGGTACAATTACAAGTCAATTAGATTTTGGAAGTGATCCGGAATCCAGGATGTTTTTAAAGGATTCTTCACCAAATTGTGTGCAAGTATTTCTTTTGGATATACTGACAATATAGCAGGGAATTATTTAGCCTTGGCGGAGGTTTTCACTCTCTGAGTGCTTTCTAGTTCTATTTATAATTAGGTGGACCATGTCTATAATTATAAGTTAACAAAGGTTATAATCTGAAAATACTAGGGTTTTGCTATCTTTCCATTATCAGCAAATGCGAATCAGCAAAAAGCGCATACTACAAGAACGAATTTGAATGTAGATATGTAAAAGCTTTTTGCCAGTTCATGAAATCGAATTCTCTTTCAACCTCTTTCTGAGGCCTTCCACTTATTTAAATGACCGTCTGATTTAAATGAACGACTATTTAAATTTGAATGAACTTATTCATCAAAAGACTGTTCAAATAACTCGAACGACTCTTTTAGCTGTACGAATGCTCATTTAAGAGAGCATTCATGTTAAACGTTAAATTGAACGAGTTTTTAATTAAATTGGCAGGGAAAACGTGTAATTAATGTTGCTATAATGAGCTTTACATTGCAAAGGTTCAGATGGAGATCTTATGCGTCATCCAGGTTGTTTCCTTGTAGGCCTATGTTTGAGATCTTTCTTTACGGTTCGATTCGCCTTGTGGAATTCCAATAAAAAAGGGCTTGTGCTTAATGGCTGCCCTTGTGTACCGGCACGATTAATTAACAGATGAAATTTAATCAAAGTGACAAACCCCAACAAACACATGTAGGCACTGAAGCAAATTACGCAGAATTGATCGCATAATTGACATTCCAAATTTGACGAAGGAGGGAAGACGTGGTTTGGCCGTGGATTGAATGCAAGAGTGGTTTGACATGGGAGGCACCTCGTTCAATCCCACGTCCTATAATGAGCAGATAAACAGGACCATTTGTCGGGGTTTTAGCATGAAACAAAAAGACAACACCCGATAAGTCGGTGTCAGGATAAAGATGTATGATCAAATTAAAACTCCGACGACAGCCGATCCCCCTTTTTTAAGTATTATTCAAATAATTACCTTATTGTCACCCTCGAGGAGAAAATTGATATCTAAATTATATGTCATTATTAGCAGCGACGCAGAGACGCAGATTACGACGAGAATTCGGAGAAACGTCTCTAGCTAAATTTGCTTTCTACTCAGTTAATAGTGCACGTGTTGTCCCCTTGCCGCCACGAAGAGTAAAGGAAATCCCATCATATTAATTGGAAAGGGATCTGATCTGTTTACCATGAGATGTATACTGTCAAAACAGTATGCATGCTTTATTGGTTTCATCATAGTTTCATGAGCGGCTTATTAACGTACGTGTGCATGCTGAAACAATCATGGTTGATCATAACCGAGGTAAACAATAACGATGACGAGTTTTTTCCTTTAATCGGGAATATAATACGACATGGAATTTACGGTAGAACATGTAACGGTTATCAAGCTGATATGCCTAACAGTTTATTAGGAGTATAGTGATTTAACCTGACGAAAATAACGATGTAGCAAATAAAAGCACGCATGATCCATGTGATTGTAGATGGGCAGAACTTCATGTAAAGGTTAACTCCATTTAAAAAAAACCCAAAACTTAACAATAACATCTGGATGATGAATTGCTCGCAGTTTACGGAAATAGTATAGGTGATCTTTCGGTTGTTGGCATGTACGTTTTCATGGATTGTTGAAGTACTACGTGTGTCATGACACGTCATATATTTGACATAATTGTTGAAGGAATCCCCGCGACGCCATGAAAGGAAATGCTCGGTTGTTTCCTAAGTTGATTGCCCGTTTCATTTATGTTGATTTTGCAGTTCAACATCTTTCTCGTCGTTTGTAGATAAACATAAACCAGTATACGTTTACTAGAAGTGTTGAGCTGCGCCGTACTTGTGACATACGTCATTGCTTCGTTGTGTTGTCTTAGACTTGATGACAGTCATTCATGAGATTGTGGAGAGGTAGGGTTGTCATTTTGCTAGTTTGTTTTACACTTGAACCTGAGGTAACTACGTGTTCCACGATGATGACGAAGCTCTTGCCTGATTTGGAGTTCTGGGCATATCGATAATTGGTCATATCTCGTGTTGATATTGCTATCGGGAATGAGGCTTCAACGGCCCCGAGTCTGTTACCACTCAATCGTATAATGTCGCTGGTTTTCCGGCATTGCTGACAAAAGACTGACTCACACATAATTCTGGTTAGCCGAGGTAAAGGAATTTGACCAAATTATTTGAGAAAAAATTAAATTGAAGCCGGCATTGGAAAGTTAATCAATTCTCAATACCCGACGTAGAATGAGGGCTGCCTATATACGCTCCACACTAACCAATAGCTTTAATAGTCAAAGTGATGTTTCAGATAAACAGTAATGCTCGGGATACATTTAAGTGCAGGGTAAAGTCTACATTAAATGCTCGGGTTACATTTGTGTAAAAAGGACTACATGCAGGGCTCTATTTATAGGGTCTACATTTATAGGGTCGGAATACATTAAGGTCTCGGGTCACATTTAGGAACAGCATGTTTCTATTTTGAAACAAAACGGTATCTGTCTACAGAGGTTTACAAATACCGACGCATATCTGTTATATATCTGTTCAATTTTATCTGTTCAATTTTATATATCTGTTCAATTTTAACAAAGCATTTTCCATTTTCTTCCATTTCAGCTGAGGCTTCTTTTTGAGCAAGACGCCATGTCGTACTCTTATTTCACCAATGGCACGGAGGAGTTGGCGATGGGAGAAGACTTGGATCAGAACGTCATTAATGCCATCGGCGTTATAATGTTGATCTTAACAGTAGTAGGTTTTGTGGGAAATAGCTGCATCATCTTCATCGTCTTAGTTAACCGCTCTATGCGGAACCGCCCCAACGCGCTAGTAGCCAGCCTCGCTGTTGGCGATCTCTTGCTGCTGTTTTTTTGCATACCTCTCCGGCTCTACCAGATGATCTATTTCCGATGGCCCTTTGGCAACCTCATGTGCAAACTCTCTCAAGGTTCTGTTATTGCTTCTCAGTCCGTGTCCATTTTCTCCATGGTGGCCCTAAGCCATGACCGGTACCGCGCCATCGTCACGCCGATGAATTACCCACGTTCCCGTGGCTCTGGTCGTACATTTGTCACCATCTCAGTCATCTGGTTCCTCGGAATTGTCGCGTCCTGTCCTATTGTTATCTTCTCTCACGTCCGAGGTAACGAGTTCTTTAGCTGGTGCAACTACATCAGCCACACTTCACTGGAAGGCAAGCTCCATGCTATCTTCAGAGGTTTGCTGCTGTTTATCATCCCACTTGTGATTATTAACGGCTACTACTGCTTGGTGTCAAGGAAGCTGATTATGAGCACACGGGCCCTCCCCGGTGAGGTACACGACAAGAGGTCACAGATAAGCTCTAGGAAGCGTTTGGCCTATCTTGTCCTGGCTATCGTCATTCTCTTCACCGTCTGCTGGTTGCCATTCTTCATTTTTGAGCTCTTGTTCCAGATAAACGACACCATCCTCAACAATTCTAACGCCCTGACCTACCTGAGATTGCTCAGTGAGGTGTTGACTTACTCAAATTCTTGCATCAACCCTATCCTCATAACAGTCGTCAGCTCAACCTATCGGAAATACTTTTGCAACTATCTCTTTTGCCGATGTTTCAGGAAAGCAAAGTTCACCAGACCTCGAGCATCTATCGTGTCATCTAAGGCTTCTTCTGCTCGCACTCGAATAACTGAGTTTGCTTGACTCTACACTGTAAAAAAATTGCCCGTAATTTTACGGTAAAAGCAGTGTCAAACGGGTTGCCAACAAAAGACCGTAAAATTACGGTCAGTTACGGGTTTTGAAAAATGACGGTGACCGTAATTTTAACGCGAATTTCCCGTAAATTTGACGGCAATTTGCGTAATGTAATGGAATACAAAGTGGGTGGCGTCAGAGCTGAGTGTAGGGGTAGGGAGGGGGGTAGGTTCCAGTTACTGCAGCTGGGAGTGGGGTATGCATACGTTTTACAGCTTGTCTTTTACAGGCATAGTGGTTTTCAAATCACTTAATGTGAAATTATCTTTAAGTTGTAACATAACTTGCATCTGTAAGTTGTAATTTTCATTTACAACTTTTTACCGATCCCGCAGAAAGGGTCAACCTATTGCTGGTCAACACCGCAGAATTAGCTGTTTGGCTCTCCAAATTCCGCAATATTAAAGCATTACGGCTTTCACAGTACAATGATCAGCACGTAGCGAACCTTGCGTGAGTGCACACGAATCACAGCTTTAAAAACTAGGCGGTTGTGAGGGTTTGAAAGGGGAGGGGTTTTGAAAAGTTACGAATACAAAGCATTGTGAATCCCAGCCTGCGTCAGGTCACCAAGTTTTACGGGAAATGCACGTAGCACGTTCTTTCTTGTGACGGTTCGAGCAATAACGGTAATAAACCGTAAACAATGCGGGAAAAGGACAGTGTTTTTACGGGTTTTGTTTACAGTGTATGCTTAGATTGTACAACATCAGCGACGTTTTGGAGCGGTATTAAAAATGAAAATATACTTGAATGTCATAGCCCGTCTTAACTTTTGATCTCAACACAATACAATTTCGTACCTGAAATAATCGGCGAGAAACTGCGGTCTTCCTTAAAAGGATAACCTAGTTGTTGATTCGGTGATCTTACGGACACTTGAACTTAAAATTCTGATTATAGCCTCTTGGGAGTTTGTACCGCCGCGTCCATTTTCAGTGAAGATTTGCAGACTCTGAAGTAATTCACCCTTCACTCCTCTTCCGAACAAATCCTGCGTCTATATCTAGGATGTTAACTTTGGATACATATCGATTTGGTTGCCCGGAGATTCTATGGGGATGTTTTAATACAACTGAAGATGATGATCTGGGTCACAGCCCGATAGTCCGAAGGTTCTTTAGTCCGAAGGGTCATTAGTCCGAAGGTTCGTTATTCCGAAGGTTCAATAGTCCGAAGGTTCGATAGTCAGAAGGGCCCATTAGTCCGAAAACAGAAGAAGGTTAAATAGTCCGAAGGTTCGATAGTCCGAAAAAAGATAGGGTTCGATAATTCGAATCGACAGTAAGGTCCGATAGTCCGAATGGACGATAAGGTTCGATAGTCCGCATGGACAATAAGGTTCGATAGTCCGAATTGACAATAGAACCTTGTTGTCGATTTGGACTATAGGACCTAGTTGTCGATTCGGACTATCAGACCTTATTGTGGATTCGGAATAATGAACCGTTGGACAAGTAAACTTTATTTTCGTTGGACTACTGAACCTTCGGACTAATTAACCTTATTCTAAATTCGGACTACCGAACCTTTGAACTAATGAACCTTCGGACTATTTCTTCAAATGTTCGGATTAACGAACCTTATTTCATTTTCGGACTAACAAACCCCCTCTTATGAAACTTTTGTGTATTCGGACTATCGAAACTTCGGACTAAAGAAGATCCGGACTTTCGAACCTTCTGCCTTCGGGCGTACCCCGATGAACTGGGGGTCTGGACACTACGTAACACTAGGGGACGGTGTTCATGATTCAATGTGGGTGTTGCGCGGAACATTACATATACAAACAGTGCATGTAAGCGTTTGTACTGTTTGTTCTCCCGTTTTTCACAAGCATTTCAAAAGCACTTTGGACCATTGAAAACTTAAAAATTAACCTCAAATAAGGGTTTTTTTGTTTCTCACAACCACAATAAAATCTGAGGGGGGAGGGGAAATGATAAAATGGCCCTTACCCTGGTCAAAACGTGTGTGGGGGATTTGTCCTCCCCATCACCCGGGATATACCCTCCTCATCACCGGGGATATATCATCCCCATCACCACGCCCATGGCACCGACCTCGCAGCATCTGAGATTGCATTATATACGGATGAAATTCACCGTGACAGAATGTAGAGCATTGCATTTGTATAGTTTCATGAATGGACCAAATCTGTTGTGTTTGGGCTGGGGGTTCTAGACTGGGATGTATTTTTTTCTTAAGTCGGAAGCCAAAAATGGAGTCAGTCGGAAATTAGAATCGTAGATATATAAATGGGACGCCCTTAGCCATGGGCTAAAAGATGGATTACGAATGAGTATATGTGATATGGAATTAATGCATGCTTAGAATAATCACGAATTAATCAATTAATAATTAATTGAAAATGCAGGAACATTCAGGTGTGGGAAAGCTAGAGAGGGCCAGTTCAATTGTCGAATTTGTGTAGTAAAAAAAAGAAGGTAAATGCATACGATTTACATTACAGGGCAGGGGAGGTTTTTTTCCCATTATTTCCAAACAGTTATTGCGTCAGAGTGATAATAGTAAGCTGTCAACTGTGACTAAAAAAGCGTGAGTGTTCTCAAAAGGCACGAATTGCAGGCATATTGTGCCAGACTTTTTTTGTTTTCATTTTTTAAAGCACGATAGCATTTATGTTGTACTGGCTGGGTACACTTGAAAGATAAACCAAAAGAAATAGTTTGCAAGAAACTGTTAATATTCTTGACATTTAATCCAAAAAAAGAGATATCTCTATTAAGAAAAGAGATATTTCTGTTAGAAAAAGAGATATCTCTATTATGACAGGAATAGAGATATCTCTATTAATAATAGAGATATCTCTATTAGACATAGAGTTATATGCGGGTCAATTATTGCGTAATGTCGGTCATCTCAATGCATGCCTTGAAGACTGATCGCATTAGAGGAAACCATTTTTGTGTGTGTGAAGTATTAACTCAGTGTAACAACAAAAGAAGTAAAATGACGCCAAACAAAGACACATTGATTGCGAGGGGGAAATATAAATGAGTGATGTTGATTTTAAGAAGGCTATGCAAAAAGTGAATTCACGGATATTATTCCATGAATGAATTGCGATGGACAATTGAAAAGTTATGGATTACAGAAAATATATTAATTAATTGAAATGTACATATAAATTTAATATAAATTATATATATATATATATATATATATATATATATATATATATATATATATATATATATATATATATAAATATATATATATATATATATATATATATATATATATATATATATATATATATATATATATATATATATTAAAGTAGAGATAGTTTACATGAGATAGACTGCATCTAAGCACGGCTAAAGTAACGTTTGCTGTTATTATAGGAATTAGTTAGCCATATTAACACAACTGTAGAAATTGCTATAGGTGGACTATTTGTCTAGAAGTACCCGTTCTCGGAATGTAAATACACACGTTTTACTTGCGCTTTCATGTATTTGTTTATGGATATGTAAATACATGTAACACCTTGAATGTATGTGATTTCAATTGGTTGTCTACCCATACATCAAAATGGTAAAGTTCTTGAATTTGATTAGGCTATGCTTCATCAGTATACACAATAAAGTCAAGAATACAGAGAATGAAAGGTTTCTTCTTGGCTAATAATCGACATACACCATACAACTCACATGGGCGCCGGGGCAGCGATCGGGGGGGGGGGGCAACCCCTCCAATAATTTGAGGGTGGAGTACGTCATTTGCGTTGTCCCAATAATCTATATACTATGTTTGCCAAGTGATTTGAGGAGCCTATTTGAGGTATGGCAGACACAATAGGAGGGCGCTGTTAGGTTTTGGGTAAAGTCCTTTTTTTTTCTTTTTTCTTTTTTAAATATTGCCATCCTATTGTTTCGGCCATATCTTAAATAGGCAAACAGCTATAGATTTTGCTTGTGTCCCACCCCTTTTTACTGAAATCACTGATAAAAGACGTAACTGTGCATGAGTACATGTATATGCGTGCATATATACATCTTAGAACATCGCCCTCGAAAGTCCAGCGCCCTCAAAATGCATTTTTGTTTTGAGTTATACCGCGACTCTTCGTTAATACTTCCAATTATTACCAAATACGTATTCTCCTGTGTATAAGTCCAATTGGGATCATAAAGCCAATCATAACTAGAATTCGCGTTTTTGGAGTTAGAAACGCAGAGTGATCAGACAGACAACTATTTCATGGACATTTCCCAGTTAAGTTGTGAAATATTTTTGTCAGAACAAAAAAACCCGAAAAATCAAGTCTTTCAAGACAGCAATTTCTTTTGTTTGAAAGGAAACTACATTTTTGTGAATAATAAATTACAAAATACATGTATTTTTTTTTACACGTACGCAATATTTCCGGTTTGAAGACGTTTTTAGTTAAAATGTGCAAAAGGAATACTGATTTAGTTCAGAGATGATACATGTTCATCATAAAATAAAAGAACATGTGAAAGTTATAGTGTTAAATGTGTGTATTAAAAGCACCTAACTTCCTGTTCGATTACGTCACAGCATTTGGAATCCCAAAGTCCACATTGTACCGGCTGTCATTATTTGTGCTACGAACCTACTCATTAGACACAGATCAAATAATGTATATCAATTTAAAAAAAAAAAGACACCTGATTATTTTCAATTTCTCTATACAATAATTTCGGTCTGATGATAGTCACGATTCTGGACCGAACGAACCATGGAAATTTATTAATATTTTGTTTAAAGTCAATCTCTATTAGATATGCCGTTAGATGGCGCCCTTTCGGGTCATGACGTCATCATGTTGTTGTTTTATTTTGGCATTTTGTACTAAACACTGCCATAATTTGTTAGGCTGTAGTAAAATGCTTCCATTTCGATTGATATTATGTTTTCATGGCACTTCCGGTAACACCGGAGGTGAAGGTTAAGCGGGTTTGTGTTCGGGAATAAAAAATGTTGCTCAAGGCACCGTCTACTACAACCTCACGAAAAAAATGAACACGATACTCTATTAAGGTCAAAAGATAGAGTTCAAACTATTTGGTCAAATTCTGTCCTTAAATCGCTTGTAATTTGATACCCGATGACGCCATTATGACGTCACAAAATCTACTACATGTTTAAGTTCGTTTCGGGTTCACACAAGTTTTTATTTTAGTACCACGTCAAACGTTAAAAAGAGATCTTGATTTCTTTTAGTTCGAGGCTAATTTCTACATTTTGAATTAATCTAACTTTGACCGTCCGGTAGCCCCGAAGAAGAGATCAGACTTTTTTTTACTTCAAAATGAAAATGTTTATCTAGGTACGATCCATCACATCACAAAGTTTTAACAGGGTTGCATAATTTGTTATTAAGTTATAAATGACAGATATTTTTCATATTTTCAACAAAATCGTTTGTAAATTGATACCTGATGATGACGTAATGACGTGACATGACGTCAGAGTAATATGCACCACTCGGGATCAGGGTCGATACACATGCTGCAAGTTCGACGATCGCTCCATTAATCGTTTATGAGAAAACCCGTTATCAATTTTGTACCAACGGGTTGTGCCCGATCACCTAATTATACTGTACATCACACACGATACTCTAAAATAGGGTACACGATATTATGATAGTGTTGAGACCGTCCCCTTCCGTCATTAAGCCACAGTGTAACGTCGCCACTGCAATCAAAATACAACATGAGGCAAAATGGCAACCCTTCCCTCCCTTGAGTGTACAGTGTGTCCCAGATTTTTATATGAAATATAGACATTAGTCACATTTACATGTGAATATGTTATGCATGTGAAATGTGTTTGTGTGTGATGGGCTACAGGTTCGTGGTCTCCCTCTCTCCAGTAATTTGCCAGCACAAGCTTATGTAATGCCGCAAAAAAGTGTACATTTCGATTTTATGGAGCTCTTATGTTTCTAGTCGTGGCTTTAAAATTTTTCAATCAATTCAGTTTATTTTTCCACAGGCAATAAACAACATCAACAACATGAAAAAGACACAAACAAAGTCTTTCATGAATATTCGTTTAGATGTGGCCGCTGATTTTTCCGCGACCGCTTTTTCTGGGACACACTGTATACCGTACGCAAA